TAACAAACTCGTCAGCCGGTACAGTTTACAGGAGGAATTACACCTCCAGCCGCAACGACAATGACAATTTCGAGTGTTGAAAATCTGGCAAAGCGGGAATTGAGTATGAAGTGCTTTTAATGGTCGAACAGCTGAAACCAACATTAAAGACAGGTCACCGATTTGGTTATGCTTCCGTGTTGAGAAGCGTTGCATTAACAATGTTACTGGCTTTTTTGGTTTCCGTCATTTACTGTTTATCGCTACGTGCCGCTTTGAGATAGAGCGAGATATGGAGAAAGTAAAGTGCTTTGATAATGTGTACAACCAGAGCTGTCAAATTCTAGGACATACGTGTTTCTGCTGTACTCCCGTTTTGCCTCATAGAATAATGAAACGGCACACAACAACGATAAACTTATCTCAGCAAAAGGAGTGACTTGTTTTGACAAAAAAATGAAGGTTTCCTTATGTGTCAAGCTAAATATTTTTTTTTTTTCAGTAAATAGCATTTTACTATAAATCCTAGAACTTGCTCATTGCATATTATAGAACATAGATTAAGAGACATGTCATGCTAAACGTTATATTTTTAATAGTTTGAATACGATACCTGAGAGGTATCATAGCCGACATACCGGTACTCTATTTGCATGGCGGAGTCGTCGCTCGCTTCTGGCTTCATTTGTACACGGCAACAGGACGGATGTAATCAAAGCAACTAATGTCTATTACCCAATAAGCTGATTCTTGTTATATTACTTCCGTGAATAACACTGCAGTCATCTGAGGCAGAATTCCTTCTTAGATTTCATTCTTCACCCTAGCTCGAATTATGCGCACGTTGCCGCACGAGATCGGTGAGTCCAGATTTCCCCCAGATCCGAACTCGTTTTGGACACCAATCCAAGTCAAACCTCGTTTCTTCTCAGAGGCTTCGAGCAGCATGTTGCTACCGCGTCCATGACGATCAAAACGTATCATAATGATTACGTATCTGTTGGCGTACAAAACTAACCTGTTAGCAGCTACGTAGGGTTAACAGCATTGTAGTTTTCATCGCTATGCAAGAACCAATGTACTTGATAATTTGACTTTATATCAGACGCCGCTTTGGCTTCTGGTTACGTGTAGAATTCGGTGCATACAGCCACGCATGGCCAGATTCTCGCTTGTCATCACTCGATACTATTCTTTTTTTGTTATTCTTGCTTTTTCAGTTGCATCGATAGTGTTTCGGTTCTTGGTGATCGTCATCGCCATCGACTTCAACTAATACAATATCGCCACCGCTATCCCCTGAACGTAAGATCCAGCAACCGCCAACGTGCAATAATGAATTAATTCCGCTATAGCTACTGGGTCTGTAGCACTAACTTTGGTCCTTTAGAGAAATCTTCACCTATTGAGAAACGATGGCGCCACGATACCGGTAGGTGAAACGATTGTGACGACGAGAACAGGTTGCATTCTCAACCTTTCGGTTTCGGCCTTTTACTATCAATATTTCTTCTTTCACGTTCGCCTGTTATGTGTACATGGAGGTCCTTTGTTTGATCAAAGTTCTGCGTTCCCCTCGCCCTGTCTTCATCTGCACCGATGAGGTTGTCAGACGCCGTCAACATGCCTGCACGCCGTCGTATTCAATTGCCGCGGCTGTGCTTTCGGCGTTTCTATCTTTCCGATTGTTGTTGCTACTTCACGTGATTCTTCGGAGGTGCTGACGTTAGCGAGGATGATCCAACTTTATCATTTTTGCCAACAGAATCACCATTACCATCAGCGGCCACCAAGAATCATCAAGTCGTCATCAGGAATCCTTCATCTAGAACCAACTTTTCTCAGTTTTCTTTTCATTTCATCATATTCCTGTCTCTATAGATCATTCCCTTCTGCTACTTCTGTATGATGTTGATGATGATGATTATTATTGTTATCATTATCGGACGACGTGTATGTCAGAAGTCTAAAAGGAAGGCTAGCAAAGGAGGAAGAGTCGTTCATTTTCGAGAGTTTTCATCAGCCAGCTGGAGCAGGAGGCAACGACAACAAGAACAACAACAAAAGTGACTGCAGGGACAATGAAACGAAGAGCAAATAGCCCGGTCGCGATACCGGCTCGCATACACCAAAAGTGTCTAGAATATAAGGACTGCATTAAAAAGGAACATGGTCTTCAACATTATCGACGTCAACATGCTCCTTCTTTCTGTTTGCTGTTTGTGCCGCTGGTTTCAACGGCCTCTGTCGGTTGATCTGTCGGCCAGTGGTCGTATGTGTGTATACGATGCAGAAGGAAGGGCACTTGCTTGACCAGCTAGCTGGTAGATTTGATTTGACGCGGTTTTAGTATCGCCTGCTACAGTTCCCGCTCACACGGGCAGCAAAAGCGGCGGGTCCACACCCCACCCGATGGTGCGCCGCTGGCACTGATCGTTCCTCCTTTCCGTCATATTGTTTTGGTAGTGCTGCTTTGTTCTCGTCCCCTTTCTCCTTAAGGGCGCAAACAGTCCGGATCCTATGCCATTATTCCATTGAACGATAATGGTAGACAGCCTCGCGAACAGTAGTCCATAAAAGATTTAACTGAGATAGGCCACCGGCCAGCGTCAATCGAATATATCTCTGCCATTTAAAAACTGAAAACTATTCAGTGCTAGAACCAACGCCCTGGCCCTAACGCTAAGTCGAGACCGGGGTGAGTGTAGAGTTGTAGAAGGGTTGTCTTCTTATCGTCGAATATATGACTGAGAGATTAACTGTCATTAGCAACATACCGTGCCCACAGCAAAGCCAATTTGCTGATATGGGCACACGTACTACACTTCGCGTGTGCAACTACTGCGGATAATAGTAGCAACACTATTATCATAGCCGCGGTCATCATCATCGTTGCCATCTTCATTCTCGTCATCGAGATTATCATCATAATAGCGCCAGCAATAACAACAATAACAGTGGCGGTTGCATTAGCTATAGCAGTTCGGGCAGTCTACCGAACGCGAAGAGCAGAAACGCGACGAAGCAAACGTCGATCTTTGTTTTTCTTTCTCCGACGTTTGACCGCCGTTTTCTTGTTCGGTCGATAAGTTGGCCGGTCACTCGTCAATTACGTATTTTTGTACCTGCGAGCTTCATTCCGCTCGCTTTTGCCATACGCGTTTACTGGTCATAAATGCCACTCAATAGTTTATGATCACGTGTCCTACCAAAAACATTGGCCTCGCAGGCGACGTCGGGATCGGCCGAGACAGAGTGTCGAATGTGGGAAAATTGACAGGAAATAAACTCAAATTAAGCAAGCAAAAATAGGCATCCGGTCGTGCACAATAACGGCTGAGGCGAAACGCAAACGACGACGGTATAGACAATATCAAACAGAAGAACGAAATAACACAGTGGTGGAAAGAAGCTCAACTTTCCTCTATCTGAAGGGGTACTGTGACATCAGCTAGTTATTTACCATCAAGTTACCACCCCAATGTCGCTTTCATTGCCATTAACGCATTAGAGCTAGTAGTTACGTTCTTTCGTATCACTTGTTGTATTTAACAGTGTGAATTGTTAGTTGGCTTTAGTTTAGGTGAGATGGGGAGGGGTCCACGATCGTTGTGCTCACAAGAGCTATCTGGTTGAACAGCCAAACAGCTGTTGTCATTGGACGTCTTTTTAGTTCAGTTCACGTAGCGGCACTTTTTTCGTTTCAAAAAGAAAATCCTACTTACTTGTGTAACTATATATATATATATAAACGTATTTACAACATGCAACAAAAATCCTTGCTCACGCATCAAGTCCAGGTAGATTGGGTATATGCGTGTGGGAAGCCGCTACTACAACGGCAATGGCTGTAACGATGAGGTGGCTTTCATCCACCTTTTGCTTGGTATTTAAGGCCGTACAAGTCACGGCACGAGGCTAAAGCAGCACAGGCGATGAAATGAACCAGTGTCAAGCCGTTCGATACCTGCCCTGTCACCTGAGATACAAGAAATAACACCGTACAGCAATGGTGAAATAAAAGCTGTGCCATTATAGGACCCTGTCAGCCCAGCCGCTAACTGGGTAGCCAACTCCCGTAATGACGGTGTTAAAATACGGACCTTACGCGGTTGGGAAGGTGCGCACAGTTTCGATAGGGTAGCTTTAGAGGCAATACGCGTTGCTCGCGGCTGTCGACGGGTGTTAATGTACAGACACGGTGAACGACACACAGATTTTTGTCCGTGCTCCGGATGCTAAGGCAACGTGAACATAGCAAGATGACCACGGTGTAACTTAGGCTCTCGCGTACACGCGTGATGCAAAGCTGTGGTTGGTAAATCCGTGAAAAGCGTCGTCGAGGGCTAGTAGAGGGTAGACGACGAAATGGCCTCCTAGTCAACTGGTCGATAGGCTGGTTCTATTTCAACCGCTACTGCTGCTTGATGAGTCGAAAACGCTAGTGTTTGTGTGCATTCAATTAGCCAAACAGTCAACGCTAACGCCATTAAAACGCAGGGCGCGACGCGGAGCTGTTAATGCGCGAATGGATTCTCAAACCAGACAAAAGAAAGAAATCGCCGACTCTGTTATCGATATCAATTGGGTTACCGAGAGTGATACTGCTGCAAGAATGGTGTTGAGGATCATTACTATTACCTAGCCAATGAATCGAAACCGCGAAGAATAGAAGATTACGGAAGACTTCGTGGATGAAAATAGACGAAGGGAATCGTCCAGTCACCGAATAAAACGCACACCGGACGTGAAAATCCGCAGTTTAGTCAATTGACAGTTGGGGGTCTGCCTGGCTTGGGCTACTGGGTATAATAAGACTAGGAGTTTGTCACCGAACGAGAAAATAGGTCTTTGCGCGGACGCCGTAAATCAGGCACTGGAGGAAACACAACTTCACATGTGCAAAGACTCTCGGCTGCACGATAGACCTCTTATTATCAGCTTGTTCGTTAGTTACTTTTTTTTTGTTGACCGTAAGCCTTTCCAAAGATGCAGACAGCCCAGTCACGAAAGCAATCCACCTCTCTTGTATTCGTCACTACGCAAAAAAAAGGTGATATATATACAGAGAGAGAGAGAGAGAGAGAGAGAGAGAGAGAGAGAGAGAACACATTCAGGAAGAAAATCATGTGATTTAAAAACAAACGTTTATGACAGTGTATTTAGTAAAGGTGATTAGGCAAAAAGTCTAAGAAACGCAGTGACTCATAGACAACGCAGTGATTATTAATAAGATCAGCATTAGAGATGCGTTACATTGGGTATTTACTGCTGATTATGTTTTGAGAAATCCTTTATTTGGTAACAGAAGCACGTAGTGTTTGGGTGTGGCTCTTCACAAACATTTGTTTTAGAAGAATTCGATTATGAGTGCCAAAGGTAACTATCTACTTGGCAAAAGCTTGTGGCTAAGTGCTTTCGTTAGCGCAATAACAGCCTTCGATGCTATTATCTTTTTTAATTTTCACCTCTATCACTTTGTCAAGAGCTATCACCTTGTGGTCCTCTGAATGTCGCTAAAATAATCTATAGACCATAATGTACAAGAAATAGGAACGGACAACAGTACACTAATGGGAAAATCTAGGTTTTCAAATGAAAAAAAAAGTAGGCTTACAGCCGACTTAGGGCTGGTAAGTGCATATAGCAATTCATTTAAAAAAATCACCAGGTAAATTTTATTGAGGTGTTTTGCGACGCTAGCGCCACCATAGTGAACTGCTGAATTCTGCTTCAATGATAATAAATAACCGTAAACTTTATACGGTCGCTGGTTATAAATGGTTTATTGATACGGCTGATCAGTATAATGTTATTGGGCAACAATTACAAAAAGTGGACGGACCTGCGAACTCAAGTTAGCAGTCCACACCCATCTTCTGAAATGATGTGGTACTGTGTAGTTTTTAGTAATATAAGACGACTGTATAGAGGAAACGAATGAAAATGAAATGCTTCAAATATATATTGTTAAGCTTCGTTCATGAATTCAATCCTAGAGTCTCGCAAGATGAATACATAATTGATTAAACGTACGGATTGTATCAAATTTATGAATTTTTATACCATTCAAGTGTATATTAAAGATCTGTATGACATATATGTCTTGTACGAGTACTATATGATAATTACATATATATCGCTGCCATATATTACTGTGCGTCAAGCTAAGAGGCGTTTTTGGTTAAACACACGTAGATGAATCAAGCCAACCAACAGTTAACAATAGTAACGAGCCTTGGACCAGTTACTGACTATCGTCATGCTGATCTGAATAGTCAGTGCTGAAATGTCATCACTGTCAAAACAATATGTACATTCGAACAAAAAAAAAAACCTATCTGTATATATTTTTTCAGTTTGGAAACCGTAAACTGCAAGCCTACTTTTACTTTTACCTCACTGAACCGTAAAAAAAAAGGAGTAAAATCAAAACACTCGCGTTATGCAGCGGTAGTGTAGCGTCTGTATTTTCAAAAAAATCATCGTCATATGATTTCAAACATATTGTGGGCACATACAAATTTGATAAAATTTCTGTCTGAACATCTAAATTTAGATTAACTAATACAAAAGTAAAACAATTGCAGAACGGTTTCACATAGTGGGGTAACATCTGCTAAATAAATAAACAAACGAGAACTTCCTTAGTGAAAGAATTTAATAAGTTAGGGAGGTGGCTCAAGGCGGGTACTGCTGCGGCCTTGTATTCAACGGACGCCGTGTGCCGCTGGTTTGCTAAACACTTTGCGATAAACTTACATCGGGGAAACCTTCTCTGCATAGGAGCTGCATATAATAATTGTTTACTTAAAATTAACTCCGTTCGAAACGTCATCGCTTATCTTATTTATGAGCATTCAATTGACACTCAAATACAAATACGAATTTACGTACGATTCTCTGTTTTTATCTCAAGTTCTCCGCAGACATGTTATTCTCTTCAAAGTGGTAAGCTATAATTAAGTTAAATGGAACTACAGAGACACGACTTATGCTCAGTTCAGCTAAAGCATATGTGAAGATAACATTGGCTTCAATGTGAATCTTACGTGTTGACGGAAAGGAGCTTTCATAAATACGCCACTGCTCTTCGGATTGGAAAGAAAAAAAGAAAACAAAAACTTGAATAGAGTCCCTAAGCGAATGCCTGGTTGCTTTGTCGCATTAATTAATTAGTCTTTTTTTTGCATGCTTTGTATAGAAGTGCATTACATTCAAAGCTGCAAATTTAAGTTATCTTTATGCAGAATACGTCTGCACATCAATGAATGTAATTTAAGCTAATGTCATACATGCCGATGGCGGCTTCTCAGAGGGGTCTGCTATAGCTTGAAGCTCCAGTGACATCCTCTAACCTTTCATGCAGGCTATTATCTTGAGAGCTTCCTACATAAAACAATGAAGAATTACAAACACGAAACTCATTATCTTATTATATTATTAATTCTTCCACTGGTTAACATAGGTCTATCAGACTAGACGGTTTTATCACCGCGGCAAGGAAAACCGCTTGTCAAAAACGATGTGAAAGTTGCCCAGATGCTAGCACAGTAAGATTAAACATTCTTCAAGGCCAAGATATTAACTCATGGGCCTTAACGGTAATTTGGCCGCCATCAACAAAACGCTATTCTATAATCACCTCGAGGCAAAATGCAGACCGACGAAACAGTTCTACTTAAGGTAGCGGAGAACTAGAAGAACCATCGAGAGATACATTGCGGGTTAACCTGCTCTGCAACTATGATTATTATTATTATTACGAACCAGTGAACCCGCTCGTAAAATGGCAACGTTTTGGCCTATCAGTTGCGTTGGTCTTTTCGTACAGCATTAAGTAATTAGGAGTCGTAAACTTCATTGGGAATCGGCAACGAATGAAAGTCCTAGTGAAGAAAAAAAATAAAAGCGAAAATATTGTCCATCAATTCTACTACAGTAAAAAGAAAACAGGAAAGTTGATTTTTATATTTCATAGAAATATTGTAACTCAATTTGAGCTATCGGCCAGAGACTGGGTTAACATGCGGTGGATGAAGTGATTTGTAGCAGACAAATCTGATCAAATCAAGTAAAGTTCTCTAGGCTGGCCTTCGTTTGTATTTCGTATGATTAATCGCAGTAATTCGTTCAATTATTTTCAAGTCTGGAATCACTTATGGATATATATTGCATCTTATGAAGTTGAATAGTATTAAGTAAAATTTTCATAGACCAAAACTTTGTCCAAATAATTAATCACTTTATTCGTTTGTACTGTTATGATATTTCATATACATTAGCATTTACTTTAAATCGACTACAGCGTTCGAAGCGAGCAAAGCAGGAATTATAAAAGCGAGCTAGAAGGTTGTTTACTTCATTGGATCCTTGTTCCCGTCCAAAGGTGGCAACCGCTGGAAATAAGCTGAGTCGGCCACGTTCTTCAAACCTTCAGTTCTGCTTCACTTTGATTTTCTCACGAGATTATATCCAGTTGAATTCGAACGGTTAACATAAGTTGTGAGCCATATTTAACTTCGAAATGGGCCAGAGCATCATCAAATTGGGTTGGGAGCATAATCTTGGGTTTCTACCACGGACAAGAGCCCACTTTCTGGTAGACGTATAATTATAGCAAGCAAAATATTAATTTCGGTCCTGAGCTTGGTTTCAAGGCTGTGCTTGTCTGTTTCTAATATTTATCGATCTATTTCGACTCGGGTGCCTGTACACTGATCTATTATTTCTGCTGGTCAAACGCATTTGTAAAACGTGGAAGTGTACCAGACTGGGAACATTTAAAAGAAGCACGTTGTTTTACACAATCGATGTTTTTTCCGTGTTGGTGATCTACGACTCTCCATTCAAAACCGTTAGAAGGCATCGTATAAGTACGGCATTTAATGTTAGCTTCACGGGGACGTAAACTCCAGTTCATCATCACACACTACTACAACATTGGTAATTATCACCTTTATTATAACGTAAATCACTTATTTTGACATATAGTTTCTTGGTCAACTTCAATGGAGACACTACGAGCGCATTCATGCACACCCTTCGCCTAGGTCCCGTAGGTTCTTGTCGTTTACCTTCCGTAGATCAGTGGAATGGTCCTTTGCCGCGTCTCGTCTAATGCTTTCTTTTGAGGTATTGTGAGGCCAACGGCAATATAAATATTCGTGACAGCCGTAAGGTTATCTACAAGCTGCGTGCAAGTGGACGCATCTCGCGTAGCAAATCCAGCTCTTCATTCTATTTTTGGTGTAGCTGTTTTTGTCGAAGATTTTTTGCTGGGGATGTTGTCACGGTCTCGCATCGCTCAGGACTCAGCTTCGTCCTGAATGGGTGCTGGCATTTATAATGTTTGTCTCGACCGTTCTCCATCTGTTTCGTCGCGCTTGCCGACGCGTGAATTCCGACAGAAGCACAAAAACAACGCTTTGGGGGTTGCAGAGTATAACGTCGACATCCGGTCTCATTGATCTTAATGGCCGGAACGCAGGGATAAAGTGGACCACTAAGGAACATTCTGAATATCGCCGAGTTTTAACCAGCCAGTGTTTAACCCTTTTATCTCTCTCAGCTGATCATGCGAAGTCGTAGTATATCTATGGATTGTAGCTCTGTGGTTCAAAAATCTTTACGCCGGTGTATGACTGGCAACTCCATCGCAAGACGAAAGTAAGATATTTAGGATGTTGCCGTGAAGTGCTAAATAGAGCGATGTATATGTAACAGTATCATTGGATACGAGTGACCCTACGTACTGTGTTCTTCGCCACGTGGTAGTTACTACGATAATAATGCACCTAGTGGAAATGGGCACTCAAACCCATACCTATAACGCACAACAAAGCTCCTGCGAGATATATGTAACACTGTAGAGTCCCAGGAAGATTAATTAGATCCACAACTTATGTCTTTCAGAGGGATGGTTATTCTCATTTCCTATTGTTACTCTTTTTTTCCTAAGCAAACTTTTTTTTCTGCATTCAACCAAATCTAAGCCGACGATTTGCACTTCCCAACAGCTCGTCGCTTCACAGTCACGACCCCATAAGCTCTAAGCAAAAGCGCCGGGACTAGTCAACCCCGATGCTCTTCAGGCCCTCAAGTGAGCGGTTTTTGAAGCAATCCTTGAACGAACTAATATTTCAACTCATCTTCAAATCCATCCCTTGACGTTTTCGACGATGGAGTCGACGAAGATTACAAGATACACTTTTTCAGCACGCACACAAACACACACGCGTACTTTGTATTTTTTCACTCAGTCTGTTTTAATCGTCAGGCTTTCTTAGTCGACTGTACACCACTAACAAACGTCGAAGAGGGACCCTTGGAGCTCTTCCTATTGTATCTTCGCCTATTCTTTCAGCATCGCACTCGTGTTTCGTTTGGCGTCCGTTTTGCGATCGTCAGCGTTCAGCGCGCTCGCAACCGCCAGCGGCGGCAAACAGACAAAATAGTGTCGATTGTCTCGGAGCAGCACTAACACTACGGGCGATATTGTCGGAGCTGACCGAAGCTGTCAGCAAAACATAATAGCACGATTCAACAAATTTCGTAGTAGCCGCAACGATAACCTGGCGCTTAGATATAGCTATATTTCATTTTGATCCGTGCTCTGTCCTCGCCTCTGGCTAAATCTATCGGCTTCACCAAGACCACACAGTTCGATGCACTAGACGATTACTGTTAAACAAAAAATAAATAAAAAGGACCCAGAAAGATTCGAAGAGCAGTACGGCTGTTGGTCATGATAATGTAACAACTGCGAAAAGAACCGAAGAAATGCAGCAAACGAAAAAAATATGAAGGTATGTATATATATAAATAACTAGTATATTCGAAGCCAGCAATTTCTCTCGGTGCCGATAACGTACTGTGGTTCAGACACGATTCAATCGGTTCCTGAAAAATTTGCCTTAAAGCAGTAGTAGAATTAGTTTGGAGAAAAAATAAGACAGTTGATCTAAAGGTCTTATGTAACTCATTGACTACGATGCTACTGCAAAGTACAGAAAAGGGTATTTCGGCCTATATACATAGGACTTCCGTTTAGGCTTGGTTGTAGGACTAAATCATCGGTCCGTGTCGAACTACTTTATTTGTAAATTTCGGTTTGCTGTTTTACCTCATTATCTGCATCTCTTATTAGCTGACTAACAAGCGTATTTTGTTGTACGTTCCGGTATATTAAATCATTTGCTATGATTTTTTCGTATCGTATTATCAGTTGTTTATGTTGGATGCAATGCATATGGACTGGAAAGGGAGCAGAGAAAAGCCATCATAACAAAGCAACGGTATATAGCTCTAAAAAGAAGGTGTGATTAAATAAACGAATATCCTATTAAAACTGTGTGATACGTATACACAGAGATGTCAAGGCGAATAGAGAAAAAACGCCACTTGTAATTTTTTACTCTCCAGTACTTTATCTTTAAGTTTTTTTTGTCTCTTTAATTGTTTATTTTGCATTTACTTTGATACATTTACTTAAATATTTTTATTTTCTTAAGCTATTATTGTTATCGAGATCGGCTCGAGATCACAGTGTGGACATCACGTCTGCAAGATGCTCTATCCGCATCTTCTAATCCATTATTTAATTTATCTTTGCTCATCGCTTCCTGTATCTGCATATTTACATAATAACGTTACCTATCGTTTTTTACAGTCCGCACCCTCAAATAACAGCCATGGGATTCGCTGGATTCCGTGTCAGCTTTTTGTTGCTATGCACGACATCAGTGGCTACAAGCCCCTTAAGAGTTTTTACACAAGCTCAACACGCCGACGACAATAATATGTCTTTTCTATTTAGAAGAGTAAAAGTGTGCGCTACCACTTTCCACCTTGGCCGACAGCCAAATCGACCAATACAGCATAGACCTGGAGTGCGAGCTTCCCTGTCCCTTCTATAACTCTCTATACATAATATCTGTACATAATATAACCATTTACACATATAGGCTAGATTGCTGATCGCCCCGGCCATCCAGCGTGAAGTACTTCGCCGATTCGCATTCACTACTGCCGCTCGATAGCGCCGACCCAAGCGTCTGGTAGGCGTGGTTTGATGTGTCGATACACACGTTGCCTTGACTGTGTGGCATGACAACACCGATGTGATTGTTGTTAATGTTGCTACCGGCAGAATTTCTCGTTTGCGGAAAGAGCTCTCGCGTCGAGGGATAACTTTTCGGGGTAAGTCCGGCGTAGCCCATGTTCGGAGTTGGTAATGTTGGAATTCTTGTTGGTTGGAGCACATATGGGTATCGGCTGTCCTGGTACTGTGCATACACTGATACTGTGCCATTCTCGAGCTGCTTCAGCGCCTTAACAGGATCCTGTGAATGCGTTATTTGATTTGGAGGCGAACGCCGTCTGTACCACAGGAGTACGCCGCCGACCGCAAGCAAAATCGCGCAGAAGATAGTTAATCCGCCGACAAGCAAGCCGCGTTTCGGGTCGCCAGCACAGTTCAGATCACTTTCGTCAAGATTCATAAGCAACTCTGAGTGCAGCGGTTCTGGCCCGGCGCAACGGATCATCGAGGTACCGTTTGTCATGGACGAGAGATAATCTGACTGGAGGTACCGCCACAGCCATTGCAGTTCGCAGTTGCACTCGAGCGGATTCTTGGTCAGGTCGAATGAGGCAAGGAGCTCCACCGGTAGCGTATGGGAGTCGATTGTACGGATGCTGTTGCCACGCAAACTGACCCGCCGAAGATTAGGCAGGCGGCCGAACAGATTCGTAGGAATTCGTTCGAGCTGCATGTTGAACTCAAAGATGACCTCTTCAAGATCGAGGTTGGCTGCAAATGCATCCTCGTCGATTCGTTCTAGCATCTCGGAGTGACTGATGGTGATCTTTTTCAGTCGGTATGACTGTCTCAGGTCCTTCGAACTCAGTCTGGCGATGAGATTTCCGCCAATATTCAATTCTTGAAGCTTCTCAATCGAACTAACTGCTGCGGGGAAGCTCTGGATATTGTTGTACTGCAGGTTAAGCGATTTTAGCCTATTGAGCTCCATGAAAGTTCCAGGATCCACTTGAGCGATGCCGCACTTGTCCAGCTCGAGTTCTTCAAGGTTTTGCAGATGGTAGAAGGCTGCCTGGTCTAGCATAGACAGCGCATTTGAGCCCAGATCCAGACTCCGCAGACTGCTGAGATAGATAAACGATTCTGTGGGAACAGATCGGAAGTGATTAGCGCGCAGCACGAGACGCTTGATTTTATCTAGACCAGCGAAAGCTGCCGGACTGATGGTCGAAATATGATTGTTCGAGAGGTCAACAATCTCAAGGCTGCGTAGTCCATGGAACACATTGGCAGGAAGTTCCGTGAGAGAGTTCTTTTTGAGCACGAGTATTTGCAGACTCTGCAATAATTGCAAAAACATATATTGCCCTTACATTATTAATTTCCGAGACCAAGAGAGACGTCAGACAATACACTTGACAACAGCTACTAGAATCCAATCTAGAAAATAGCAGCGAACACTGCTCTTACCTCAGCACCGTGGAACGTATCGACCGACAACTCCTTGATGAAGTTGCAGCTTAGATCCAGTTCCCGAAGATTCACTAGCGCGAAATTTCTCTCACCCAGATTCGAGATTCGGTTAGTGCTGAGATCGAGAACTTCAAGCTCGGAGTAGACGCCAAATGCCGACAAGATATTCGCGATGCTGTTCCGTGACAGGCGAATCTCCTTCAGCATTGGATGCAACGTAAGCGGGAATACGTCTAGCGCTGCATCCTGACAGTTCACGGTCAGTTCGGCATCGTTGCAGCGGCATCGAAGTGGACAAAACAATCGGGCATCCGCCTTTTCGCAAACGAATGCAACGGCGAAAACTACGCTTATGATCGTTGCTGGCGTTAGCTTCCTGAGAATGAAAAATTTAAACCGTTCTACTCGTTAGCTACATGAGAGTGATACAACGCCAATTCAAAACCCAAGAATAGCCAGTTGTCCGTTCTTTCTTTTATTGTCAGCTATGAAAAAAAAAACCAAATAGCCTCTAGACCAACTCTTCACTTTTTTAAAGGGACAGAAGTGGGCAGGTCTGAGGAATCTGCTACCTTTCAGCTGTTCTGTCTCTAAGTATTTTTTTTCTCCATAGATGATATGCCATGAGATTTCGTGCCGCACAGAAATAGAATGAAATCGGTATCTTCGCTAGGCATCAACTGAAGCTCCTCACTTGAGGAAGTAGGTCTCACCCTCTTAATAATGGGGCGATTATTGAGGCTACTGTTAGACAGAAGCTTCGTCGTAAGCAGAGGATAAAATTGAAGGCCTCAATGCGTCAACAACGTTAACTACCAACGCACAGCCTGTGGTAGCCTAATGTGACTGCCGATTTCGCAGATGCATCGGACAAGAGAAATAGTAACAACTTGGCCATCTCCAATTCATTTGGCGAATGATTGATCTTTTAAGACGACGAAAAACTTCCACAAAATCTTAGGTTACTATTGAAATGCTGCACCAATAAATTATTCGAATGATAATGTTTCAATTCATGCGTTCCATAAAAAAAAATATTCTTAATTGAACTTTGAATATACCATATATAAAAGTCTTCCTACACTCCCATACTTACATTTTGAGTCACAGGATGTTGAAAAAGAAAAATAGGATTACACACACACGTACATAGAGGCAATTAGGCACGCATTGACCAACGATAGCAGCGCCCTAATAGTCACACATTAAAAATAGTATCCAAACGTACATGTGATCTGTCAGTAACGTATCCTTAACTTAGGGACAGGTATGAAGTAGTCCCGTGTTTCGTTTACCATCACTTATGCTCACCCCATGTTATGATTATCATCAGGGTAGCAGCAATGACGGGAGCACATTTTCGCGCGCATGGTAAAGTCTTAAATTGCGTTAACGTCGAAGAGGCACTCCCAATATGTCAGCTAGCAGATATCATCTGCATACGCACAGACGCCGCAACGATGTTATCCAAGCTTATACAATCAACGGCGGAAACTGAGGCCTCGCGGTAGTCGACGGAGCGTTATAAACGGCGCCACTCAAACCACCTCCTCTCCCACGGGTGGCGAGGAGTTTGGGACCAGCGGCAGCGGCGAAGACCCGGTCTGTATGTCTGCTTGACTGCCGTGGAAACCCGACAAACAGTCTGAGCACGAAGGAATCCGGACAATTGGCTCGGCGAGATACAAACGAACGGCAGCTTTGGCCTGCGGGTACTGTTGTAGTCGTCGTCGTTATGGACATCGGCAGAATGGCGCTGCTGCTGTTCAAGGATGAAATGAGAAAAGGTGGGGTGATGGAAAACCTAGGTAGGCCAACGACAGCACGGTGCGGCCCTTAAACCTCTCGAGACAAGAAGCAATAAAGAACTAGATTGGGGCAAGAAGCCCGAGACGTCTACTTAAAAGTCTACGGCGACAACCAGTGGCACAACATAGGCTATTCGTACGATTGACTGTGAACTTTCCGTGGCTCTTAAAGGAGGCTAACTAGGCTGAGTGGTTGTGTTCGTGTCTCCGCAGAGCGTCGCAACTAAACCATCGCGATCGAGGGCTAACCCGTAATGAGTAGCGAGAAAGCCCCAGGGCGTGCATTAAACAGAAGAGAAGACTAGCATTTTGAGGCTACTGTCGTTGTGGCTGTGGCCGTTGCTGACGTTGTGCATCTCGAAGATGCGCGATGTCGATGCGCAACGAGAGAACCCACATAGAGAACTTATAGACAGCCGTTTTCTTCGTTGGTTATGGGCGGTTGGGAAAGAGGCGTACTGAGGATGCTGAACAGAGGGGAGGGGGGGGGGAGGTAGGAGGCGTCACCTTCTACAGAAGCTGTACTTCGTCGATCATACAGCTTAAGAACAAAGATTTCATATACAGGACATTCAGGTGCTCGTACGGGGTTGTCAGGCATACGTACGTTGATAGAGAATAATTGCAAAGAAAACTTTAGAGATTCTCAAGAGATAGACATGAGTAGTCACTTCAGCAAAACCTCCGTACTCTAGTCATCCATACAGGTACCTAAGTATCTGTAGCGCTAAATGTACACGGACGTCTTAGAACAACTTCGTTCACTCGGATAGAGGGCTGCTCGGACTATTGTTGCATGGGGCATCGATAAAAGCCGCTGACAACGCCTACTTTTTCCGGATATGGATACCTGAACGGAACAATAGCAGAACACCTACCTGCTCATTCTCCCAAGTAGAAGAAATAATGCACTTGGTGCGTCAAACGAACATTCAGCCATATCAATGATAGGTGATCATAGAGCAAAAGGCAAATAACAGCGAAATGTGGGGGATGCCATCATCGACATCAGCACCGGCAGGACTAGATAACAGATCTAATTACTAGTTATAAGTTGACGACTATACAGGTTTGCCTGAGCGTGTATTGATATTTCGACAACTCTGCATGAAGAACGGGGCGAAGGATTTAGGAAAAGTTGAACTACACGATATAATGCTCAGTAGTAAACAAAACTAAACAGTTAGAACCGTCGCAGAAGTTAATGTACGTACGATACAGACGAAATGAAGCAATAGCACCTTCATTACACGAGCTCATTATGAGGAATTAATTTACTGTATAGTACAGAAATATATATATATATATATATTGTACGTATTTTGCATATATGTTAACCTTAATTAATTTTTCGCAAAGTTCTACGCGTAGCGCTATCCTGGTCGAACCCGGCTTGTGTACAATCATGGGTCTACACGTGCGTAACCAAGACCTTATTCAAAACACAGGAAAATCTTTTAGCGTTAATACTTTGATATATTCTCTTTCAAGATACACGATTACAAAGAGATCATTTCTAGGAGTGTAATTTTTTGGTAGGCGCTTTTGATCAAGTGAAAATGGCCAAGAGTGGTAAAATGCTTTGTAGCGTTAGAAGAAGAAATGCAGAGGTAAAGCAAAATCCCTAGATGACTTGTTGGTGGTTAGTGACTTAATAGCCGTTGAACGAAAATAAGTCCACGACTTGAACAGTTTCCCCCCGTCGTTGCCTTTTGTTCTGCGCAGTTCTCACCGTTTTGGTATTGGCCTAGTTTGCCTCACATAGGTACCTCATGGTGCTACAGTACACTCAGCCTGTTTTTCCCATAAGACAGGTGGGGCGGCCTCTTCCAGCGCCTATTAGAGCCATTAAACCTCTCGCATCAGTATTAGCGACGGCTTCGAGTTACTCCGTGGTTTTTTCGTCTGCGATGTTTTTCGGTGCCCTTCTGCGCCCGAACCTCTGATCGTGCCCAGAGCAGCGGTATAAATCTCAGTTATGGTATACTACCAACATAATTCGATACTGTAGACATTTTTGGTTAAGGCAGATGTGACATGTATTACCGGCCGGCGTCGATTTACGTCGGCGATTCGAGCGAATATAGTACATCTCAAAAGCCATCTGGCGTACTTGCCTGTAGGACAGTCGACAAGGCCGCTACGATCGGTCAGGTTCTGTGTGAAGCTCCCAGGAACATGTGCTCGACGGTGTGGGTGGATCCCAGTTATTTTGAGCAAGTTCAATGAAACTTTACATCAGTATTTTTTGATTCGTCGACAAAGAACGCTCTGTGGATTGCGCTCTATTGCACAGATTTGAACGTAATAATTTCTGAAAAAGTACAATCGAAACATCAGCGGTTTAGTGACGTAGCGGGTCAATCGCAGTCCAGGAGGGTTAAGTGAGGCTAATAGTTCACTTCAGAGGGTCGGAAACAGATAGAACAAGACTATACGTAACAGCATGAGTTGTAAAGGAAGAATCTCATTAGTAAGCGTCTACAGACTGAATACCTCGCGTCTTCTGAAATGCGTTCGAGGAAGCGATCATTGTAAGAACCCCAGCCTCATCAAAACGACTTCGTTCGTTTAACGCTGCCCTTTACAGAGCCTGTATGTACACTGCAGTCTTCCTAGACCCATTATATATATCGCTTGACCATAGATAAAAAGCCCAGCGAGCCTCGGATTGGAATTCGGGCAAGAATTTAACTGGTGAAATACTCGATTAAACGACTACGTTTGGGATAGGTTAAAAAGAATTCTGATAAAGTAACGGAGTGCGCAATGGTGGTCGAATTTATGGTTCGTACTACCGCTATTACAATTGTATTCGGATCGTGCCATTAACTCAGTCTTACTCAAGTGAAAGGACCATCCGCCTTGAAAAATATGATACCTGGTTAGAGTGTGGGAGTAGCATCGTCTTCACTCAGACAACGCTGGAAATCCACCCGACGAGATTGTGACTGCGCGACGAATTTATGCGTTATTAGTAGACCTATTGGGTAGGTATTCAGGTTGCCACCATTGCTACAATTGTCATTGACTTCGGGGTAATAGTGGCATAATGGCTTTCCTGTGCCGGCATTTCATAGCTACCAAGACGGGCGTCACGTTTTTAGAGCGCACCGTTACTCCGTTTTGGTTTGCTACTTCACTGCTGCTGACTCTAATGGCCTTAGTTGCATGGACAGTCGGCAGGATCGGTAGGAATTTTGTTAAGCAACGTTTTTTCTTCAGTCTCAACTTTGTGTGTCCAAACCAGATCGGCCTGCATTCAGTGACGATCCACTGTGTGTCGCTTGCCACTGAAGCGGACTGTTAAAAAGAAACGTTTTCAATGCCATTGATTTTTATTCTGTCAGGTAGAATCGGTAGTTGAAGTTGATTCGCCACCGATTGTACTGCTGATAGTCCTCCTGCGGTCATCCAAAGATGACTTCATCACTTTCTCTTCTTTAGGCCGACGGGTGGTGGTCTTCAAGGTTCGTTCCCCTTGTTGTGCTACTTTTTTGTGTTGGCTATGCAGCTTCTGTGTACTTGGTGTCAAAATGGCAGCAGCATCATGACCGTCGCCGTCGTCAGTCGGATCATCGCAATCATCAAGGTGAAGACCGTAGCGGGAGCAGACGAAATAGCCCTCGTCGTATTCGTCGTCTATTGCGCTGCCGTCATTCGAAATCGAACCCCGGTCTTACAAGTGGAAAATCAGCTCTCGACGGCGTCATGGTGCCCCTCGGTCAGCCAGGGTTGTTTTCAAAGCTTCATCAGCTGGTATCGGCAGAAAGGACGTGTTTGTCGCGGTCTATGTTTGGCTATCTCATTCGGGAGCCATTTGGATCGGCTGTTGGATCACGGTCGACATTTGGATAACCGGTAAACCTCATATCATCTCGAGTCCTGTAGACAGCGTAGGCAAGAGCAACGGGTGGATCTGAGTTCCGAATTGACTGCAGTAGCATCTCGATTGTTACTTTTGTTGCTGTTGGTGTTGTCGTTGTTGCCGACGACTGTCGTTTTATTGTCCTGTTTCTTCCTTTACTGTTAAGGAGCTACTGCAGCGGCGAGCGTTTGCCGTCATCATCTTCTTAAGCATACGCATTACAGATAGATACCAACACTATACAGACTATTATAGCCAAATAACCTAACGCGGCGTTAGCTTCTGTACGTATAAGTGTAGACCATTGCCTGCGTTAGTCGGCCGACTGATTCAGTGGTGACTATAGCGCCGCCAGCACCTTTATTACCCCAGCGGCAGACGCTGCCATCTCACTGGTAAGCGAGAAAAAGCAGTACAACATCAAAAAATAAGGGTTTACAGCCCTGTTCGTTGCTCCTATATGGCGAGCCACACTTTTCCTTTGACCGCGAACGTCTACCGTATACGCACCAGGATTGAAGACGACGCTAGCTGGCGAAAGCGAATTCGCCAGATCTGGTTGATTCGACAATGCCTCTCTCGATAATGATGACCACGGACCACCGAAATCGCTGCTGCGGCAGTGGATCACCTAAATATCCCCTCTATTTCTTCACCCCCAGAACTTTCGCGATTGGTGGCTTGGCCTTTTTTCGCTTCTAATACTTTGATTGTCGCCATAGGCCACTTGCAGTCAAACAAGCGCTAACCACGAAGTGACATCACTGCA